CCTCTATGAAGTTGTTGCCTCCACACAGTATGGAGCAAGGCAAGCTGACTAGTCCTTTGCCCTCCAGTTGACTTTTATTGGGCACAGCTTCTACTGGTCCCTTTTCTCTCCTGTTGACCATTGTTGCCAGGGCAGAAAGCTAGTTGCCAGTCTAAAATGTTAAAGGCATTACTTGCACAGGAGTAAAGCTGAAATCACCTAGTGGAGAACCCTGTTGTTCTGACAGCTATCAAACTTTGGGTTTTCCCTCACTGGCATAATTTCTTCCCAATAATATTTATAAATATATATATAAATTTGAAGAAAATGAAAAAAAAAGCAATCCTAAATTCTGACCAAAGGACTACACTTAATCAAATACTTTTAAAACAATGTCCCAAAGAGAAAAGGATGTATAATAAATTATTTTTATACTATAATTGTATCAAACAAATACAATATTAAACAGAGGTATACAGCTAACAGAGGCATTCGGATCACTATCTGGTTAAAGCTGACATAATGATCACGGCTGGGAACCACTCTGACTGATTTACAGTAGTTAGTAGTCAGTGAAACCAAGTTTGACGGTTAGCAGACATGAGAAGTATTGATTGATATTTGTCAAAGATATGATGTAGATAAGCAGTGGTCAGTAGGGATGCACCAATACCGTTTTTTCGGTCGAGAAGCTGACCAATCAGGAAGCCGGGCAACATGTCATAACATGGAGCCTGGCTTCATCATTTTACCGGGAAGCCGGCTCCATGCTCCCTCATCACAAGTGACGAGGGAGCATGGAACCGGCTTCCCGCCATTCAGGAAGCCGGGCAGCATGTAATGACGCACTGAATGGCTTCCTGATACTGGCAGTATCGGGCTAGGCATTGGAGCATTTGGGCGAGTATGAGTACTCCCCCAAATATTCGGCATCAGCAGCGATACTAGTATCGGGTATCGGTGCATCCCTAGTGGTCAGCTGTCTTCATATAAGGGGCCTCATGCATGGCCCCTGACATCACCAAAGGGCCTCACATAGTATTTTCTAATACTGCAAAAAAACTGCCAGAGACTGCAGATATGGGACAGGAGGTGGTCAGAGACTGTGGACTTACTATAGGAGTTGTTGGAGACTAGGAGCAAGCTTCAGGAGACTAGAGATACTGTACATTACATGAGTCTGCTTCAGATGCAATTAGAACCCTTTTACAAATAATTTCTTCGACATTCGTGCTCTGTGCAGCCTACCTAAAAAGCTTGCACCACAGCACTATCCATTACAAAAGATTAGAAGTAAAAAAAAAAAGAGAAAAGGGATAGATAACACAAAAATAAAGTAGCGTGAAAAAAATGAACTAAACCATTCAGCTACTAGAACCCATTCTAAAGAATATTTCCTTCATTGGCCTTAGTAAGAACCTAGGTAAGGAAAATGATAAGTGCCAAAGGGCTGCAGGTTGGGCACCAGGGATGTAGTTGTACATTAACACATCCTTAGCACAGGCCATCATGAAGTCTTCAACACATTTGACCTTCCACTTGTTTCCACTGGGAAGGAAGCATGGGGATGTCTTTTCGCTATTAGCAAAGATCATTCGTAAAACATCCTAAATTTTCTTATCTGGCAGATCTGCTATGAAAGCTATGTAGGCTCCCTGACCTTTTCAATCAGCAGTCATCAACACATGGTGGCATCCTTGATGATTCTCATTGCATGACTGCACCAGAATCATGGTGATTATGAAACGCGTATGGCCAGCTGAGCCGAGCTTGAATTGTACTTTAAAAGTCAGAATTTGCACATAAGTTCAGCTGTCTGTGTCTCTGGATCTACTGACGTTCTAAATAAGCAGCTTTCACAGAAAGGAAACCTGTATTGATAGAAATAGGGGGATGCCATTGCTGTCCTCCTTCTGGAAATGCTAGTTACCAGACTGCCTGGGGTTTTAATACTGGCTGAGTCGCTGGCCCAGAACACGCATGTAGATCACAAAATCGAGAACTAATCTGCATACTTGTTCCAGGTCATTGACTTAGAAAGTATTGAGATTTTAATATAAGCTTACATAGAGCTTCTTCTCTTTGCTCCTGCCAGTAAACAGAGCAGTGGATGATCCCGGAGAAGGTGTGTATAGGCAACTGTCAGGAGTCTGCATTATAGTGAACCTGTGGCTTGCCCTGTGTTTGGAAAGCTGCGGATTAAGCCGGGGATACGCTTTTTCGAATATCGGCCAGTTCTTGCTAAACCAGACGAAATTCGAAGCATGGGTGCCGCTGTTGGCACCTTTCTGACCGTCATCCCTTAATCAGCTGATCGAAGGAGCATGTTGAAAAATTCCAGGCCGAACAAAGCAAGAACCCAATAAGCTACCTGCTCAGTTTGGGTAGTTCAATACTGTACAATGTAAACAGTGGGAGATTCCTCGATCGACGCTCGTAACTGTTGTTAGAGGAATCTGTTCTATTTTCTTAGTTCAGCTGGCAGGTTGAAGGAAGAAAACAGAAACGTGTATACCCAACTTACTTCAAATGGAACGTTACCCTCAGGGCCCAGACACATACTCCCTCATAAAAATTTGCAAGCAGGCAGACTGTTTGTGAGGAGGCAGGTAAGAATGTTGACATCTGTTCCGCAATAAACATCTTGTGAATGTACACTGAGCTACGCATGTGCCATTCAGTGTATATTTTCTGCGTGTCTCGGTGGCAGGATCCCAACAGCCTGGTCAATCAAGATGGTCAAAAATGCTGAACCTGGAAGAAAACAGGGTAAGGATGTCAGTGTCACTGAAAGAGCTTGCAGACTTTGCTGTGCTAGCGGGGTTGGGGTGGGGGGTATAGTTCACTTTAATGTTCACAATATATAAAACTAAAAGGAATATGCTAAATAAGCCCTTGTAAACAATCATTTTTCAGGAATGGGTAGGCAGGGGGAGAACAAGAAATGGAAGAATGGGGAAGGTTGTGGAAGGGTAGGAATGAGGAAGGTAGGAAAGGGAGGGTAGGGGAAGTGAATAAAATGAAGGGAATGTAGGGATATGGTAGGAAAAGGAAGGAAGGGGTAGGGTAGCATAGTAGGGGAGAGTAGAACATGGTAATAGAAGTAATAGAAGGATAGGGAAAGGTACGTAAGTAGGCGCAAGGTGAGTGGGTAGAGGATGGTAGGAAATGGAAAGTAGGGGGAATGATAGGGAAATAAATGTAGGAGAGAGTAGGAAAGGGAAGTTAGTTGGAGCATAGGGAAATGAAGGTAGAAGAAGGTTAGGAAAAGAAATAGGAGGTAGAGGGAGGGTAAGAGAAGAGGGGGAAGGTAGAATAGGAAAGATTCAGTTTGATAAAGGAATAATATTGCTTCAAACCAAGGTTCTATATCTAAAAACCTATTCCCCTATATATCATTCTCTAAAGCAGTGTATAGCAGTGTTCCTGGGAACACTGGGGTTCTTTCAGAGGTTGCTAAGGGTCCCTTGCACTTTTCTGACTCTCAGATAAATAATCACTGACAGCAATGATCTTTTTAGCTTTCTGTAAGGGAAGCAATCTTCCCACTGACCACCAATGTAAGAGACCCATTCTCCTAATGAAACACCAATATAAGACGGTTTTTCTTCCACTGATCAGCAGTCTAAAGCTGGCCATACACCTATAGATTATCTGCAGATTTTCTATGGTCAGATGGAAAAAGTGCAACAGATTCCTCCATCTACGCTAAACTGTGTGGCTGAGGAATCTCCTGCTGGGCCAAGCTTCAGTATCTTGCTAGTCGGCCCCGCTGGCTCTCAAAACACCTGAACAATCTGATTGGATGCAGGCAGCGGAGGAATCTGTTGCACTTTTTCCATCTGACCATAGAAAATCTGCAGATAATCTACAGGTGTATGGCCGGCTTTAGTCACCCCAATTGTATAATGAAGCAGGAGGAGTAGCATCACAGCCATGCAACTGTCATTTTCATAAGGAGATCAGAACTAGCAGCCTACATATTTTCTCGTGGCAAGTTTGCTTTAAAGCGGAACTGCAGGATTTTAAAAAGTTAACCCTAGCAAATGGGCTACCCCTACACTGCAAGGGTTAACTGCTCCTTTTGGTCTGTGGTCACAAATAAAGAAAATATACTAAGCTGATCCTTAATCCCACCTGGCTGCTAGAACAGTCCCCGCTGCCTTTTTCCCCCTGAGCTCTGGTGGTCTAATGACCTATGACATCATCATGTCTAACAAGTCTATTAGACGTAAAGACACTGAGGAAAATACCACAGTCAGAGCAGAAGGGGAGAGAGGTGAGCACTGCAGGACCGAGGATTGGGTGCGTATATCTTCTTTATTCCGTTCCCTAAAACAGCATTTCTCAACATTTTTTTAGCCACAGCCCTTTAAAAGTTTTAAATAATCGAGGCACCCCAGTCTAAAATGTGATGGATTTTAAGGGGGAACCCCTTACCACATCAGAGTCCTCACGCCCTCTTCATATCAGAGTACTCAGTCCCCTTCACATCAGAGTCCTCAGTCCCCCCTTCACATCAGAGTCCTCAGTCCCCCCTTCACATCAGAGTCCTCAGTCCCCCCTTCACATCAGAATCCTCAATCCCCCTTCACATCAAAGTCCTCAGTCCGCCCTTCACATCAGCGTCCTCAGTCCGCCCTTCACATCAGCGTCCTCAGTCCCCCTTCATATCAGAGTCCTACCATCACAACGATTTCGAGGCACCCCTGAGGAAGCCAGAAGGCACCCCAGGGGGACACAGTACACTGATTGCGAAAGGCTGCCCTGGACCAAAACAAGCAATTAACCCTTGCAGTGCGGAGGGAGCACCACATAAAGGGTTAACTTTTGAAAATCCTTCTTTAAAATGGTCTACATTCCTAACCCTCCGCCTCGGTGTGCCTACGACAGACAAGTGTCCATGCACACAAAGGGTTAAATGCAAAGTCCATTTGCTCAGTGTAACCCGGCGATGCTCCATAATGATTTCTGCCTCCGAATAATCCCAATCTCTCGCCAGAAAGTCTCGAAGTACATTGCATGCAATTTTCTGCTTGAACGGCCAGAAGAATAGTAGGCGGGCATACACTGTGAAGTAGGCAGGAAATATTCGATTTACAGAGGGGAGGTTGGCTGCAGCTCAGCAATGTATTTATTTCTTGCCAAACCAAAAAAATCGCAGCACCAGAGAGCGAATGACATGGCACATCAGGATGGCTCAGCCCTGAGCTGACACTCGCCGTCGTCTCGCTGCTGCTTGCTTAATTGAATTGGCTGCGTGAGCGATACGGAACCCGTTCTACGATGACCTCCAACTTTCCTCTGGCGAAAACTCTGAGGCGGTCGTGGAGTTTGCCTCCGACGCGGAATATCCGCATTGTGGTGCTGGGACAAAGTGCAGTGGGCAAGACAGGTACCCTTTGCTTTATGTTATGGATGCAATGTGCTTATCTACAGGTTGTTTAATAAGACAAGGAGCAAAGTGACAGCAATGGATCAGAATTCATTTTCTAATCACTACGCTCCTCGTCTGACTCAATAAGCCGAAATGCCTTTATGTTATTAGTGTTCACTGGCTTGTCGATTGTCCAATGTCCAACCAAAGCTGGTGTTTCAGTTATGGGGAGAAGATGGGAAGGGAAGTTACAAATCTTCTAGCTTCTTATGTCTCTAAGGGGCTTCAGTGATAAAATCCCTATCTTGGGAATGCCTGTCTCTACCCTATCTTTTCCACCAGGGTCTCACTCCTCCGGCTGCAGCATGCCTGTGGAATTCCTTGTAATATTGTAAATCTAGCTCTGATACTGGGACCTCCTTGTAATGACCAGAGCAGGTGAGCTAGCTTGGGTATTTGGGGTTAATGATTTCATTGTTGAAGACCCTAAAATATATAATAGTACGGTATAAAACTCTAGTACTAATCTAGGATCAGCAATGACGTGCCATGTGCAGTAACCTGCAGCAACCAGTCAGAAATAATCAATAGCCGATAGACTCCAGTAAGCTAAAACTTGGTTGGTAGAGATGAATTCACTTTGAATTGGTTTGCTGAATAAGCCTTAAATTAGAACTGAAGCCAGAACGTTTCTTTTTAGTTTTGGATAGAGTAAGGACTTATTATATGTCATCTGTGTCCCATTGGCAAGATTTCCCTTCGCTTCCTGCCTGATAACCACAACAGGAAGTGGAAGGAAAATCCCTGGTGGTCAGCAGGGTTAACGGTATTAGTGCCCACATTGGAAGATTTCCCAACTATTCCTGTTCTGATGACAACACAAAATGTTGGATTTTGTTTCAGTGATAACGGTCACCAGGACAAATGGAGAGGGTGGATCTTCCTGAAGCTGGCCAAACGCCTGTCAATTTCTTTTGTTAAACCCACGGGCTGAACGGAAGAAATTGATGTGATTCCTCCATCAACACAAACAGCGTGTCTATCGAGAAATCACCGCTGTTTGCATTGTGCCGCCGACACCTGTCAGAATACCCGATCAGAGTGGGCAGCTCATTGGCTCTGATCACATGAAGATTTTCCAGCCGGCTCCTTCGATCAGCTGATCAAGGAATGCCGGCTGAATGGGAGCCGACAGCCCCACATACTGTGCAAATTTTAAGCCGGTACATTAAAAACCAGCCGAAATGTGGCCAGTGTTCGACCACCTTAAAGGAGACACAGACAGCAAATAAAACCTGGCAGGTTTTCTAATCCCTTTGCATTAGAAAAAAGTTTTGGCTTTAGTTGCACTTTAAGCTGACCATACACTGGTAGATCCTCATATTTATTACAGGTATTTATATATGTGCTGACAATTTACACAGTGCATTTTACATAGTGTACATTCACATCAGTCCCTGCCCTCACAGAGCTTACAATCTAAGGTCCTTATATCACATGCATATAGGGCCAATTTAGACAGGAGCCAATTAACCTTCCAGCATGTCTTTGAAGTGGGGAAGGAAACCCACACAAGCACAGGAAGAACATGCAAACTACCCACTGCAAGGGCTATGTGCTCGTTATTAAAAATTACCTTTCTATTTAAAACTGTAGCTGCTGTCATTTTCTTAAACTGTCAATCAAATTAAATGCAATATGTCAACCTGGAATCCCCAAAATTTCACTTCCTGCTTCTGTGATTGGCTGACTGATTTGCACTAAGATACAAGTAAAATTTTAGGCATTCCATTCAATAGGAATGTCATTTTTGGCGAGATACACCCTAAGGGTTAATTACTACTAAAGTGATGCTTTAAAAAATCTGCAGAGGCCAAAATCTGGAGCAGCTGTGCATGGCAACCAATCAGCTTCTATCTTTCATTTTCAAAGTTCAACTGAACAAACTGGAAGTAAGAAGCTGATTGGTTACTATGAGCAATTGCTCCAGATTCTGTCCGCTTCAGTTTTAATAAATCCCCCCCCCTGCAACTTTCCTTATTACAACACAGAAAGTCCACCAGCTGATTCACATAAACCCACAACCTCCCATTCACGGATCAGTTTGGAAAGGACATACTGGAACAAAAAGCTTTTTCTTCAGAACAGAACCAGGTAGGAATCTGCAACAAAGTTTGGTACAAATCCTTGCCATTGATCTCCCAGAGGAGATTGATTTTTTCCCAACAAAAGTTGTTGGAGTTGTGGAGTTACTCCTTCTGTTTCCTTTTGTTGTCTACAAAGATTTCCCCTAATTCACAGGAAGCTAGCGGCTCACTGTCAGTCACAGTTCCCTGCAGTGCTTCCCCTTACCTCCAGCGTACATTGGAGGGATAGGCAAGGGAGGGGGTGGTCACAGCTGGCTCTGGCTTTAGAGTGGCAGAGCCAGGTGTCAATCAGGCGGAGGGGTGTATCCCAACAATATTCCGAGGATACTTCCTGGCTGCAGTGCGGCTCTGTGCTGTCAGCATATAGTGGGCAGTAGCCGGCTCTCTGCTCTCTGCTGACTTTGGGTCATTGAGTACATTAGTAAATATTCTTCTGTGACCCAAAAGTGAAGCCCAAAAAAAGGTTTGCTTTAGCCAGCTGTGTCACCAGGACGGGTGTCACCCGGTGCGCATGTCATTACGTTACACGTGACGTCATTACGCACGCGCTTAATGATTCCTGAACACTCTCCATTTTACAGTTACTTCTTACCAAAATCTCCACCCCATTCCCATAGCAGAGTGTTAAAATACAGTTACATTTTTGTTATTAGGGTTTTGTCCAGGTACATGGGGCAGAGATCAGTATTGAAGGTAGGGCACTTTTCAGTTCTGACCTCTTGTTCTCGTGAACCCTGCTGATGTCCCCAATGACTATTGGTGCTCATGTACAGAAACCAAGGCCCGGCTATTTATTTTCTGTTAACCATTTTTGCCTATTTGTGATGAATGAGACCCGGTGTCCTACTTCTATCACCTCCAGCTGATGTTGTCGCTGTTAAGGTGCCCATACACTGCACGATTCTCGTACGAGAATCGCGGGAAATCCCGCGATCGTACGAGAATCGTGCAGTGTGTGGAAGGCGTGCGACCGTTTCTACTGTATGGTCGCACGTCTTCCGTCGAACCAGCATGTTAGAAAACCCGCTGGGAATCGTACGATTCTCGGCGAGTTAGTGGCCTGCTGGTTCGACAACTGCCGAACGGGCCGGTGTGCGCACGCGCACACTGCCCGTTTGCAGTCATCGTAAGCCCGCCCCTCAGAGGGGCGGGCTTGCGATGATCGAGAGTACGATCTGCCTGTCCAAGATGGGCAGATCGTACGTTTGTTTAAGTACTTTACAACCATCGCAAGACTAAGGTCTTGCGATGGTTGTACAGTGTATGGCCACCTTTATAGGACAGGATTTATTAGGGGCAAGTGCAGTTGGTGCACCATTGTAATCTCCTGATGAGACAGTGGAGAATGGTGGTGCGTGCGTGTGTGGTCTGTCTCTTCTGTCTGGGGCACAATGTTCTTTCCCAGACACATTCATACAATTAATGTCATTAGGCCACGCTCATTGTGGTTATTAGTTTTCCAAATTGCTCCTTGGTGTGCAGAAATTGTGCCACAGCTCATAACCTTCAGCTGAAGCATCCAACTGATCATTTCATTACAGAATATTACCTCCTTCGAGTATTATTTCCAGTAATAAATGTGATATCAATGCAATAAAATGCAATAAAAATTCTCCGTAATGCAATTGCTTGTTTGTTGTGGGGGGCTTTTCATTATATCTCTTGTATAAATTCCAACTCTTGTCTGTTTGTCTGCAAAGATGAAAAAAAGTCTACTTTCAATTGGGATTTACTTCACTATATTTATAGATTTGTGTCTGAGATCTCTGAAGCAGCGACCACACAAGTTCATCGCCCTCTTTCCCTTCTCTAGTTTTGCAGCAACAATCTTCACTTGTTACTTGTGCACAACTGACAGGTCCTAGTACAATGCATTATAAGGCACAGACAGGTCATAATACAATGCATTATAAGACACAGACAGGTCCTAGTACAATGCATTAAAAGACACTGACAGGTCCTAATACAATGCATTAAAAGACACTGACAGGTCCTAATACAATGCATTAAAAGACACTGACAGGTCCTAATACAATGCATTAAAAGACACTGACAGGTCCTAATACAATGCATTAAAAGACACTGACAGGTCCTAATACAATGCATTAAAAGACACTGACAGGTCCTAATACAATGCATTAAAAGACACTGACAGGTCCTAATACAATGCATTAAAAGACACTGACAGGTCCTAATACAATGCATTAAAAGACACTGACAGGTCCTAATACAATGCATTAAAAGACACTGACAGGTCCTAATACAATGCATTAAAAGACACTGACAGGTCCTAATACAATGCATTAAAAGACACTGACAGGTCCTAATACAATGCATTAAAAGACACTGACAGGTCCTAATACAATGCATTAAAAGACACTGACAGGTCCTAATACAATGCATTAAAAGACACTGACAGGTCCTAATACAATGCATTAAAAGACACTGACAGGTCCTAATACAATGCATTAAAAGACACTGACAGGTCCTAATACAATGCATTAAAAGACACTGACAGGTCCTAATACAATGCATTAAAAGACACTGACAGGTCCTAATACAATGCATTAAAAGACACTGACAGGTCCTAATACAATGCATTAAAAGACACTGACAGGTCCTAATACAATGCATTAAAAGACACTGACAGGTCCTAATACAATGCATTAAAAGACACTGACAGGTCCTAATACAATGCATTAAAAGACACTGACAGGTCCTAATACAATGCATTAAAAGACACTGACAGGTCCTAATACAATGCATTAAAAGACACTGACAGGTCCTAATACAATGCATTAAAAGACACTGACAGGTCCTAATACAATGCATTAAAAGACACTGACAGGTCCTAATACAATGCATTAAAAG